GGGGTGCCATGAATGAACCCTGGATCCCTGAGGTTCCCCTTACCCAGGGGTTACAGCGAAGAGTGCAGTATGGCAATAGAAGATGAAGGGTAAAGGGTTACTTAGGACACGTAAGGAGAAAACACTACACACATACATACATGGAGTGTGGAAGTAGACTCTGTGGAGCAGTGGCACCCTTCACACAGAGCATAGGAAATTCACTGCTTTCCCAAAAAGGAGTCCAAGGTGGCTCCTGTGTGAGAGGGACCACTACGCACTGCAAAGGCAGAGCTCATTTCATCCCTCCATGCACTGTGCTTATTTTCTCCATTTGAATTTCATTGAGTGTTTTATGGTAGAGGGTATTGGTGGCTTACGCTGAGTATTTACATTGCAGTTAAGTTCATCTTACAAAAATAGGTCATTTTGTTGTGGACAGTTCAGTAGCATTTGGGATGGTGTGCAACAAACACCTTTCTTTCCAGATCATTCTTATCACTACCAAGGGAAATCCTGTCCACATTAAGTGCTTACTGCACATTTCTCTCTCTCTAGGCCCTCGCATACCAAAGCGTGTGCTCTTCCCATGGATTTGCCTGTACTGAGCATTTCCTATAAATGGAGCCACATGCTATGTGGCTGTTGTGTCTGGCTCCTTCTACTTAGCTCACGGCTTGGAGGTTCCATGTTGTAGCATGTATTGGTACTCCATAGTGTTTCACAGCTCACTAACAGTATCTTGTTGGTTAGATGAGCCAGATTTTGTTTAGTCATTCATCTACTGGTGTGCATTTCTGTTGTTTTCACTTTTTGACTATCAGAATGGAGCAACCATGAACCTTTGAATCCAAGTACAGCAGTACCTCAGTTCAGGAAACTGTTTGTACAATTTTGGTTGTAATTAGATTCTGACCAGAATTTGGAAATAATTAAGTTCATAAACCAAAGTATCACTGTATTGAATTAAGCGTCTGTTTTTAATTTGTTTCTAAGAGCAGAATTGCATGGTCAGATAATACTTGGTATTCCTCAGACAGAAGATTACTATCAAGACCATACAAAGAACTCAAAAATAAGGGGACCGGGGAGATAGCTCAGTAGAATAAGCACTTGACTGGCAAGTGCAAGGGCCTGAGTTCAATCCCCGGTTTTGAAAAAAAAAAATCAAAGAACTCAAAAAGATAATAATTCCCTGACTTTCTAAAGAAGCATTAACCTTTTTCCATAGTAACTGAACCATTTTACATAACTACTAGCAATGTACAGGATTTTAATTTTTCTACATCAGCACCAACATTTTTTATTTTTAGTTTTTAAAAAATATTGCAATCTTATTATGCATGAAGTGTCTTGCTGTGGTTCTGATTCACATTTTCCTAGCTTTTATGGTGTTGAGCATCTTTTCATGTGCTCATTGGCCATTTGCATTCAGTGTATATTTTTTCTTCTTTTTTAAAAAATAATTTTATTGAGAAACAAATAGCAATGAGACAGTTTCACAACTGATTAGTAGGACAGCTTCAATAATTAATACATTGCATATTGTTGTCTTAGTGGTTATTTATTGTACAAGATGCTGACATGATATCCTGTCCATAAACACTACTAGGACAAATCTTTCTATTCATTCTATTCATTGAAGTAAGAGAAAGTAGCTGTATGTCTATCTTAACTATTTTGAATATACAGATACAAAATCATCCTTCATTCGTATCCCCATTTTTTGGTTAGTTTTGTCAGAGATGGGTATTCCATTGTCATTTAAATATTGTAGGTGCATGAATTCAGCAAAATATTCCCATATAGTCCAGTAGTCTGTAATAGTGGTGGGTTTTCTGTAGGACTGGCAATGCCAGAAGTTGTTGACTTGAGCCTTTCACAGCTCAGCATATTAATATGGCTTTACTTTTTAATACCTTCATTATTATACTTTTCTGCTGGATGGTTAAGACCAAGATAAAGCAAGACCTATATAACAAGAAATGTAACTTTTGTATCTAATAGGGTCAGTCAAATCCCCTCAGGATTTATCCTGAAACCCTGTACTGCAGTTTATAGATCCTTTGGGTCAGCCATGTGGATGAGTCACGGCCACTGCTTGACCAATTTGCTCTCTGTGAAAGCCTGAGAGAATGTTTTCTCTTTTTTTTTTTGAAAGGAATTTAAATTAATTTATTTAAGCTCTGTTAGGAATTCGTCAAAAGTTAAATTTCATCTCAAATGGAGTGAGAAAACAAAAACGATTGAGATGGCAATTCACAATAATTCAGAAATTCATGTATTTCTGTACCTTCTAAAGAACACCAATTAACAGCCATTGTGTAGAATGTTGAGGATCTGTGCTAGTAACTATATGAAAAATACATGCAAAATAATTCATACATGCAGCTTTTCTGATGATCCAACTTATAAGAAGAGTAAAAGAAAACGTAGAGTTAGCAGGACTCAGCTTGTAACTTGCACTACATCAACTAGAATTTATGGATTATAAGAACTGCTATTAGCTGTTTATTAGGCACCAGCTCAACAATCTCATTCTCCTCATAGTCTATTTTTCTCCAGATACACGATATGAGGCTCAGAAACGTCAAGGAATACGCCCTGCATCAGAGCATAAATGATGACAGTTTTCTCTTCATGTGACTCTCTTTAGGCACAATGTCCATCATCGATCACTTTCCTCTCTGGCCCCATAAACTCCTTGATCAGAAAATTTGGAACACAAGTGAGTTACATGATGTTACAGTACAGGTTCTCTTATGTCCCGAGTCTTCATTGACCAGGAAAGTGAAAACTTGAGGATTAGACAACGAAGAGAGGACAAAGAGAAAAGTTGGGAAACAGGACAGGGACAAAGCCATGCATTTATATGCACAAGATGGGCAAGGCAATGATCCTGAGAATCTTCAGCAAGTTTTTGAAGCTAGCAGTTAATTGGTAGGATTCTCACCCTGACTAACTATATATGCCGATACCTGTGAACTAAGCAACTGCACTAAAGATAGCAATGTATAATAGTAAGTTCATGCTTGGAATGCCTGTCATTCTGGTTTTCTAAACACGTACTGCTTGTCATGACATACCAATTGCTGCCATACTGTCTCTCAAATAGAAGCTTGTTTTTTTTTAAAAAGGGGTAATAAATAAAAACAAAAGACAAAAAAGTCACAAGTCTGTCCTGCTACAATACTGTATATGGTTACATTTCTAAATTTCTGTGTAAAAATATGCAATTGTTTATTCTTATTTTAAAAATGTTTTTATTTTTTAAGGTTTTTTTTCTTCATGTTCTGTAGGAACTTAAAGTATAACATATCAATACTTGATGGAAAATACCTGTTCCATGTTATGTCTAAGATGTTTGATATTCAGACAGATAGTGAGGTTAAGCTCAACTGCTTATGTTGTAGGGTAATAATAGTAAGCTTACCTTCTAGAGGGATAACAACCTAAGTGTGCAGACCAAAAATTAGAGAAAAAGAAGGGCTATAAGGACAGCCAACATTTTGGCCCTAGCTTTTCTTCTTCTTTTTGAGACAGGGTTTCAATATGAAGTTCAGGCTGGCCTTGAACTTGAAGAAATACTCCTACCTCAGCCTTCCAAGTGCTGGGATTAGGTGTGCACCACCACTCCCAGCCTTATGTATACTTTTATAGTATTTTTCATTTGGATTTCTCAGCACACCCTGACTAGAGTTATCAGGAAATACATATTGATTCTTGAAAGATCAAAGTAGTAATTCACTCATGCACACCTTGAAGAGAGCAAAGTGATAGGATGTATTCCAACTTTCAGTTACCTGCTGGTTGCCCATTTGGTGTCCAGTTGTAGATCTGTCCCTGAAGGTACTGCTCTGATACTGTCTTTATTTCCCACTGTACTAGTTGATATGTTGTGTCAACTTGAGAAGTTTAGAAGTTTAATTAAGTGATTCAGCAGAGAGCCAAGATTCTTAGTTATGAACATCCTCATCCTGTGCCAGAGGAGGGCATGGACATTGTGTGAGTTCTACATCTCCAGCCCATGCTAGCTTGTTTATGATATAAGAGGAGGGGAGAGGGATTGGCAAGAAGCCTCAGCTGCTGCCCTTCCATTCGCTCTTCTCTGTTTTCTGCTGCCATGAACTGCTGCTGTCTGCCATGTGTCACTCTGCTGGGAGCCAGCTGAGTATAAACTAAAATCTCCATAAAATTTGAGCTAAATAAACCTTTCCTTCTTTAAATTTAGGTGTCAGATATTTTGTCCCAGCAACGAGAAAAAAGTTACAAAGTAGCCTACTAACAACCCAAAACTGATCGTTAGGAGAGTAGGCCTAAGTAGCTGGGTTCTAATCTATGAAGGAAGGTTCTGAGAAAAATTTCTTTCCCAGAAACCTTTTAAGTTGCTTTTAATAAGTAATGTGCCCTTTAGATTTCTATCTCTGGAAAATTAATTCAAATGAGAGGGAAAAAACTTCATTAGTAAATGTATCTTGGAGCATTTTTATAACCACATATCAAAGAGTTACCAGAGGACAATTAATTTATTGTATTAAGTAAATAGAAAATTTGTCATCTCTTACAAATACCAATGAAAGCATATGTTAACATACATAGCACTTCAGCTAAAATATTAAATGGAATGAACAAAGCATAAATTGTACACACAATATGATGGGGTTACAGGCTGAGTATCCCTCACCCACAGTGCTTAGGGCAGAAGGACTTCAAAGTGCAGAGGGTTTCAGATTTTGGAACATTCGTATAGATTTTTCTGGTTAAGTGAAATCTCTAATCAGAAAATATGAAATGTAAAATGCTCTGAAATCCAAAACTTGTTGAGCACTTTTGGTTATTTAGGGTTCAGCCTGTTTACCCTTGCAGTTGTGGCACAGGCTGTGCTACTAACAGGACTTGGCTTTCAGGATGACGTGGAACAATTTTCACAATTCTTCAAATTCCTCAGTTTTGTTTCTACAGATTTTTGTGGAAAAAGAAAATCTAACGTTTAAAATTATGAAAAATGTGTCTTTTTACAGGTGCCCCATTGCCTAAAGAGGACAGTTCTGTTCCTTTGATCTCCAGCTCCCCAATGAAGGAAGCCCGGGGGTATGAAGAACCCCCGAGTGAAGAAGAAGATAAAATCAAGGAAGATCCCTTAACCATCTCTGAACTAGCATACAGCCCAAGTGCCAGCCTGCTTCCCACCCCTGTTGATGAGGATGAGATTGATATGCTGTTTGACTGTTCTTCTAGGCTTGAGTTGGAAAGAGAAGACACAGATTCCTTTGAGGAACTGGATGCAGATGAAAATGCCTTTTTGATTGCTGAGGAAGAGGAGCTGAAGGAGGCTCACCGAGCTTTGTCCTGGAGCTATGACATTCTGACCGGCCACTTTCGGGTGAATCCACTGGTCAAGAGTTTTTCCAGGCTTCTTGTGGTGGGCCTGGGACTGCTACTCTTTGTATTTCCCCTGCTCCTCCTCCTTTTGGAGTCAGGTATTGATCTCTCCTTCTTATGTGAAATCCGCCAGACACCAGAGTTTGAGCAGTTTCACTATGAATACTACTGTCCTCTCAAGGAGTGGGTGGCTGGGAAAGTCAGCCTCATGCTGTATATGCTGGGGTGCTCATGAGGGTAGCACGTTGTACGACTAAGGGCTATATTCAATACTAATGAGTTCTCTTTTCAGTAGATGCCTGGTTCTGAATGGTCCTGGGGTCATCAACAGGTGACCCTTTCTCATGACTGATTACTCCAGTTCTTACATTAGCTTTTCATAATTCAATATATTTAAATAAGTTTAAATCAGATACAATTTTTTAGTTATAGGCCAGAAAGATGGCCCTTAAACAAAAACTTGTTTATTTTTTAATGTATGGTAGATATCTTTATCTGTTCTATCATAATACATAATGATACATTGGACAAACTAGATTTTTCTGTTTTTAGTAGTTGGCACCACCACAAGACATAAGACTCAGAATCAGAAGTTTAAGAAAAACCCAAAAGAAAGTTTTTGAATATAATCCTTAGTAAACACAATGTCTTCTAACCAATGCCTATACAACTAAATTTATGCTGGGCTTTTCTTTTTGTTTTTTAAAAAAATATTTTTATGGGTTTAAACTATTTTGGTAAGTTTTTAGCAAAAAAAAATCCCAAAAAAAACAAACAAAAACAAGCCTCCTGGAATTATTTAAGTATACAGATCGCAAGACCAATGCACAAAGGTATATCAGGAATTTTTTAATGTTTTGGCAGTGGTTTGTTTTTTAAAATATTTTTGGCTGAACAATCTCATAATTTGTTATTACCTGCGTATAATATGGGAAAATGGGTAGAAAGACACTGTAGTTTAAGCCTCCAAAATAAGATGATGTAGGAGAATGTAGAACCTGAGAGCCCCGAGTTGACACACGAAGGCCTATTTCTCAAAGTTCGGGACAAGATGATTTGGTATTTTTCCTTTGCATCTTTGGGTCTGAGGAAGGAGATTGTTCTTAAAGGAAAGTGAAATTTAAAAGGAAACATGGTGAAAGATAAAGTAGTCTACTGCTTGCTGTACAGTAACACAAGAGTGGAAGCAGATGAGAATTGGACAAATAGAGAGCAGTGAAGGGGAGTTCTGGTGAGGGCCGAAGGCAAGTGTGTAGGTGGATGGTCTCTTTGATGAAAGTGATAATGATTTGATGCGAGGCGTGCAGCAATGTAAAGAGCAGTGTCCTTGCTGCCTGAGGTGATGGGAATGTGTTCAAGTGGATATAAATAAAGGTGGAGAAACTTTAAGGTACATTTTGGTCCCTCATGCATTCCTTATGGATCTGTGGAAAAACTTCAAAAAGTGTGTGTGTGTGTGTGTGTGTGTGTGTGTGTGTGTGTGTGTTTGTGTGTTAGAGAGAAAGAGAGAGAAAATATAAAAATATGAATATCCTCTGATGCCAATGATCATCCTTTGCAGTATACTCTTACCCTTGCCTGGTTCCCTTAATCATATAGCTCATTCATAATTGGGGCTTCCACTGAGAAAGTGGAGAGGCCTCATGAGATGACAAACCAATTCAGTCTCAGTGACATAGATAACAGAAGGGGCAATTAGGCTGAAAACGCTGGAGCCAAGTCCTCTGGTACCTTACTTCCTCCCATCAAATCCATGAGAAAAAGAGTCTGTTCCTTTCCTGTGCAGAGAACGGACCAGCTCTGTGGTAAGAAGAGCGTGGGGGAGGGGGCTACTCTATGGATTGAGAACCCACCATTGCCTTCATTGACGAAAGAGATGTGGCCCACCTGTGATCTCTCCCTGACTCTGATGACACCTTCATTCTGTCTGTTAGCATAATCTCCAAGTTAGGCATTTCAGTCCTGCTCATTCAGTAGAGTTCTGTGTGACTCACTAGGCATTTACTTTTACAGGGAAGCTTTGAAAAGCAGTTCGTGAGGCCTTCTACTGAACACATGATAATATATACTTGCCATTGAGCTTGCGTGGTTTTCTTCTAATGGATTTTCAGTGAGTTGTACTGATAAAGAAGTGTATTTTCTTTGGTTGTAACCTGCAATAATAAGTTAATTTTTCCCTTTTCTCATGTGACATGACCTCTAATTCATCATGTCATCCTCTGTGATGAAAGGGTGATTTAGTGTAGTCTGCATAACTTTGTCCTCCTTCAAATAATACTTCATATTATTCTAATCAAGACAAACCATCAAGCCTTCACTTATTACAACACTATTAAATAATTTTTAATATTATTGAAGTAATATATTTTCCATTATAAAGTATTTAAACAACATAAGACAAATATCACACACCATCTGACCACACAGATTCATATTAAGGAGATGTATCCAGCTAGCATCTCTCCTGTTTAGGCACAGGCTTTATTGTGGAATGGGAAGGTTTTCAGGTAAAGGAGTTGACAGGATAAGGTCTGCTGAATTTCAACGTAACCATCAAAAATAAAACTGGGATTGTGGAAAGCCATGTAGCTGGCATGGAATCAGAGCCTTTTAGAAATAACCATCTAAATTTTGGTTTTAGAAATAACCATCTAAATTTTAGCAGGATGTCACCAATTGCCTGAATCAAAAGAGGAGAGTATTGCTTCTAAAGGTGGACAGTATAAAATATAGTGAGATACAGAGTTCAAAGCAAGTGTGTGAGTATATGTATATTCCATATTATTGGTGTATGTGTGTTTATATATAAACCTGTACATATGTGTGTATTTGTATAGACACAACCAATATGCCTTTCATATGTTGTTGTGCTTATTTTGTCCTGCTTGAGGAAATTGTTCCTTTTCCTATCAGATGTCATGGTGGGTAAAACCATATCCTCAAAGACTTAAAATTTCCATGAAAATTTTTGTGAATCTGTACACACATATATGGCAAATACATATACACACACAATCTTGTCTTTAATAGTAATGCAAGTTGGATTATGAAAAAAATGTAGGCAAAGTATCATGTATTTATATCTGTGCTTGGAGCATATTATAAAATGTTATGTATTTGGAGTATTTTTTGTGATTTGTCTAATATTTATAAACATAACTGTGGGGAGAATTCACAATGAGGTGACTTGACTGAAATCCAGAGATATGGGGCCATGTTACTGTGATTGGAGCCTTATCTTTGTATAGTGAAGTTTGCATTTCTATGTCAACATCCAAATTGTTTTATATGTTAATATGGTAGCAGGAATCCCTAATAAATATACTCTGGGGTAAAATATTTTTTTGCCATCATTCAGTTTTATTTAAAGTACAGTGTAGTCAACTTGTTGGAAACTACAGGAGTATGCCCTTTAGGACCGTGAAATGAAGTTCCCCATTAATGATAACAGTATGAAAAGAACCACAGGTCATGGGTGACATTAACCCTCTGCAGAAGTTACACAGGCCCAAAGCAGAAATGTTAGCAATGCAAATATACTCAATTGCCAAAATAAAAAAACCCAAACAAACTAGGGTCTAATTAATGGTACTAAGATAACTAGGCTAATAGAAAATTGGGCAATGGATTTTAGAGGGTTAGAATTTGGGATGTCATCACTCCTGGTCAGCAGAGATCTTTGTGTGCACATGGAGTGGCATCTGACACTTCACCCTGTGATTCTCACCATTAGACTTCTCATCCTGCCTTTCACAGGCCCTGAGAGAATCTCACTCTTCACTCTGCTCCCCTCTCCACAATGGAGACTTGACAGGTCTTCTGCTGAGGTTCCACACAAGGACCACAACTCCTTCCCCGATGATGAAATCTATATGTGTTACTTTGAGTGACCCAAAAGGAGGCCTTCTTTCCAGCAGGAAGACTCTAGGGGTCTTCCACTATGGGCCTTCAACTGTGGTGGCCTCTTGAATCTGCAGTTTCTTATTCAGCAGCTCACAGAGTGACAGGGTAGAAAAGGAACTTGATGGTTAGTGCTTAGAAGTAAGGTGACTTGTGGACCTCATTCCTGGCTCAGGCAGTACTACCTAGTACCTTTGTTTGGGTCAGTATCTGCTGATCCAAATGGCCCTTATTTACTGTGTAGTTCACTGAGCTCCTGCTCCAATCTTGCCTATTAAAGGAGATCTTTCTCTATATTCTTACATTTTCTGCTGAGTCAAATAGAGGAAGGATTTCCCACCGATATTCTCAATCTGGGGAGAGTATTGGAGAGAGGCTTCCATCTTTGTGATAAATTCTTGAGTGGTTGCATCTGATGGGATTTGAATCTTTTGGGACCATCTTTCTCTACTGGGTGAAGATAATATTCCAAAGGTCCCTGCTTACCTGTGCTCCTGCTTCTTCTCTCTTTCTCTCTGTCTTGGACCTGCTTTTGGCTTCCAGTCTCCATGCCGTAGAGACTCAGCAGGACCTGCCCATGGTGGGCCCAGCCGCGATCATCTTTCCATGTGCCAGCCTCAGTCTGTACTGGGTGGGTAAGTCCAAGAGCATGCCCAGTGGGCTCATCTGTCATCACTTCAGAGAGGAAGAAAGAAACCTGCATAAGCCTCAGATCTCAGATATGTTCTCCGATCCAGTAATAAAGCTAGTTTTTACCCTTCTTCTGGCCATTGTGTCTTTTAACTACTGGGAAATGGGATGCTGGTATTGGACAGAATGATAGCTAACATTTAACCATCAGAGGTCTGTAACCTGTGATGTTGAGAGTAAGAAAGGTATGAAGAAGACTGTTCCTGGAGTATCCTCAGGCATCAGCTGCCTGTCACTGAAACAACACTTTACCAATGGGAGGGAGAACTGGAAATTTATATTAGTAAAGAAAAGAGCATTGCTTGGCACTCTACGCCCCTATTCTGCACCCTTTGTTGATGCTTACCCTCATATCTCTTGGAAAAGAAATCAAGACCATTTTCAAGGCTACAAAGAAAAACTCTTAGGATAAAGATGCACTTCCTGTGAGCAGTAAGTATTAAAATATGCTTTGCACATTTATCTGTTTTTTCATCTTATAACTCACTTTGATTCTACAAAATTATGGTTGTAATTATCTGCTTTCCAAGGAGACTATCTTTGAAGGGAAAGACCATATTAACCCAAAAATGTTAGTTTCTGTTATGTGTGGTAGGCTCATTTTTTAGAAGTTTAAAGTACGGTGCTTTGGTTTAAAGATCACTTTTTTTGTAATTTTCTTAGGGTGAATCAGCTGCCTGCCTTCCTCAGTCAATTGAGCATCCTCACACCTTCAGCTTCTGGTTCTGCAAAGCAGCAAGCTAGACTGTAAACTTACTGCTCCTTGTTCTTATGGTTCCCATGTAATTCACCCAAACCAGGACATTTCTGAGAGCCATGAGTGTTTCTAACAAACACTCCCTGTATTACAGCTATATACAACTGTCCCAGATATTCTATCTGTGAGACCATCTGATCAGAAAGATGCCCCTTTGAACAACTATAGTGTGTCTTTCTATAACATTATAACATTGACTTGGTAAAATAAGGAAAGATTGTTGCTCTATAGTCAGCTCTCCTGGTTGATCAGTCAGGTTAAGATATATATTCTGGCACTTTACAAGGTTAAATCTTTAATCTTTTCCTTGAGTATTTGGTGCTACATACTCAACTTGATTGCCTTTAGAAATGCTTGGCTTCT